GGTTTTCCAAATAACCTCCGGGTTTTCACAAAAACCAATCAGGTTTTCAGAAAAACCTTCCGGGTTTTCCAAGTAACCAGATTTTGTTTACATTTCTTGCTGTATGCACAAAATGTGCTCAAAGACTGTCTTGCTCCGGGTTTTCAGAATAACCACCGGGTTTTCCAAATAACCGAAGACCATTAAAACGAAAAAGTACCGGATTTTTAAATTTAATTCCTCATTTGCGATCAATACTGTGCTCCTGAAGGTCGTTCAAGGTACCAGGTTTTCTTGATAACCGAAGGCCAGATCTCATAACCCTCTTTTTTTTCCTGCTAACCGAAAACCACTAAAACGTAAAGTTCCGTTTTTTTAAATTCCTGACTGCGGAAATTTTTCTCAGCTTTGTCCATAGCTCCTGTAGTGTGGTGAAATATTAAAGAAAAAGGGAAAAAATTATTGATGGGGCTGGAATACTGTGGGTGGTAAAATGGTGCGTCTTGAAGTCTTTACTCATGACCCATAGAAAAGTGCCATCAACCTTGGCGACAGCAGCAGCAGCAGCAGTAGTAGTAGTAGTAGTAGTAGTAGCAGGAGCAGCAGCATTATTGCAAAATACTCTTTCCTATGTCACGTTTCCTTTCTACTCATATTTGTAACTGACTTACCTGTAGGAATATTTTTATGATACATCAGTCGTGGATGAACAGGTCCAGGGAAGGGAGCACACGCAGACAGCAATGAGATCTCATAACCCTCTTTTAAAGAAGGAAAGTTGTGACACGAGCTGATAAAATATTCTTGGGCTATCAGCCATGTCTGATGATAGTGAGAGAGATGGTCCCTGTCACATCAGTGATACTTAATCAATTGACACGGCTGAAAGCCAGAGCAGATTTCATCCACTGTAGCTGCCATGGAAGCTTCATATCTTATGTTTAATGTGAGGTTTACACTGTAGATAAAAGGTAAAGTAGGATAATTTTATTTCAGACGTACACAGTATTTGTTACATGCCACAGAAATTTCAAAATGTGACTGCCCATGCATGAATAGACAGCTTATAGCATTTTCTTTTTCTGAACAGCTGTAAGAAACTGGCACCTTTGATATAATATCACTGCTAGAGACAGAAGTTATGGCTGCCATAGGTATTCTGTGTTCCACGTAGTGATGTGATACAATGGCAAGTGTGCTCTGTATGCAGGACACCACTGGAGGTTAAGCAACAAATATTTAAATATGGATTTCAATTACCATTATGAAATTTCCAATTTTGCAATGTGGGATATTTTATTGGGAAGGGTATGTCTTCTCCTGGTGACAGAGCTTGTACAAGGGCATGCTGAAAGTAATGGCTCCCGATTTCGTTTCCGTAACAGCAATTTCATTCAAACAGAAATGGCTACCTTCCTTGAACTTTGTTCCCAATCCTATACAATTACTCCTCAAACAACCACTTCTGCAATCCAGACACAGCTGTACAGGTATTCATGAACTAATGCACTAGTTGTGTTCCCAAAAGGAGTCACAGGGGGTGCAATGACAAATGACGTCAGGTAGGCCGGACTTTCTATTCTCCCCTTGCATTCCTCCTCCATGCATGCACAGCATCCTAATTCGCCCTTCTTCTGACCTCTCTTGATGGGCCAGCAAGCAGTTCATACTAAAGCAAGTGTTAATAGGTCTAAATTAATTGACTGCATTAAAATGAAACAACATGTTTCAAACTTGCATATACCAAGGAGTACCTGTACTTATGTAAGTGGGGCATGACAGAACCACATTTTTGCCACTGTCTTATGGAGGCATTACTTTTCAGCATACCCTTCCAGGATGAGAGCTGCTAATACCGAAGCCCACCAGTTGACACATCATGATCCACAGTCATACCCAGTTTTGTCAAGATCTGGTTTAATTTCTTTCTTCCACCACTTTTGCTTTGCCAAGTGGACACTTTCCAGCATCTACCAACAAAAATATTGTACGTATTTGTGTTCAATTCTTTATTGGAGTCTGTCGTAACACAACAACTTAACAGTCAAGGTTAAAATTACCTAGCTATATGTTTTGGCTTTTTAAAGCCATCATCAGGCAAAACACATGATAACTATATTCACACATTATTAGTAATCATGTGCTTTGCCTGATGATGGCTTTAAAAAGCCGAAACATGTAGCTAGGTGACGGACTCCAGTAAAGAATTGTACATAATAACACAACAGGATGCACGAAATGAAAAGTATTTGTGTTCCCCCATCTCAACTACAAGTCCTTGATGCAACTTTCCTGACAAAACTGGAAAGCTGTATAATCATCAAGTTCCTTGGTGGGGACGTTGTGTGCTATAACACTGTGTTGTAGTCGGCAGGCGGATACCAGGGTTCTGGTGAAACACACCACGCTGCAGTCTGATAGGTGAATACTAACATTTTGGTGGAATGTGTGCCTCCATCTTTATGACTCCAGATATCAGACATTTAGGTTACGTATGTACAGATGTTTGACCTGTTCTCATTCATGAATAATACTCATTGAAGAATCATGTTGTGTTTGCAGTCACAATATGAAATCAGGTCATCCACAAACAACAGTTTCATTTGGCTGATGATACAGGATATATTGTGTAAGCTGGTATAGGTTTAATGACATTTCAGAGGAAAACATTGTCTTCAGCTTCAATTTTCCAACCTGAAAATGGAGAAAGTATATGTCTGCAGTGTTGGTTAAAACAAATTTCGGAGCATTATATTTCAGAAGACTTAACCTCAATAATATTTTTCTAATTTTCATTTCATGCATCCTGTTGTGTATACAACTTCTTTATTACAAAAAAAATTACAAAACCCAATGACTGACTCGATGATGTAAAACATCAATAGAAGAATTTTATTCTTGTTTTATACTATAACTTTTGTTTTATATAATCTAATTTATTGTACTTTTATGTCAAGTATTTTATATCATTAATAATACTGTATCCAATTTTACTAGTACTGCAGTTCAGTGGTGTATACATGTTAACCATGTATTTGCCTTATGCTGGATATTAATTGCCGAAACACGTAACAGAGCCAAAACTAGGCACTGATCTTGATATTAGTTATGTTGTGACAATTGTAATAAAGAAGTTGGGCTCAATAATACTGCTCAAGTCAGGATGTGATAGAATCTATGTAGCAGAATTCTACACTTATGAAGGTGATGGTACGTTCCTCCAAAATGTAGGCAGCCTCCTACCCACCTACTCAGCATCACTTCCAAATTCCTCATGATCACTGCCCTGAATACCTTATATCTCATACGTAGCACTGGTGTTTCTAGATGACTGTACTTCCATTTATGAACAACAAATACTGGCACACTACAACAATATAGTAATTGTGTTGTATTGATTAAACTGAACTGTGATCAGTTCAGATGAATTATTTTACATAATGAAATTATTTCTCAGATCATTGTTTGATCAAGTCTGCATCACAGTAGTGAGTCTGTTAGGAAATATGTACAAATTAATAAGAAATGGCAAGTCTACCACTGCAACCATTTGAAATTATCAGCCTGACGCTTCAGTGGCCCTGCCTGGGCTCCAGCTGCACGTGGCCACCTCAAGTTTACAGTGAAACTTTGAGTGCATACAAACATATCATGAAATGAAAACATATTTATATTATTTTTCCTAAAGGTGATATACATTTAAATACTACACCACGTGAAACTATTGTAACGTGTCGGAAATCCAAAAGAGTAACTTCTATGGAAACGCTAGAATAGACCGTTGCATAGGAAACAACATTCGCTCTACTGTAGTTCTAACAGGAATCTCCACGGTTACGATGAATACGCGAAGCGTTCCCACAGAGACAACGCAATAACAATGGGTCATTGCGTAGGAAACGCAGAACCGACAAAGCAACGTTTCCACCGCTATAACAGAGGGTTCGTTGCATAGCAGCGACCAAGGTTATATAGCAGGGCTGAATGCATTCCACAGTCAGTCTTGGAATAGCCAGCTAAGAAGTCAGTCGGGATCGAGCCATCTTAGAAGAAAGTCCTAGAATAACCGCCAGAGAAGAGAGTCCAGCGTCGGCCGGAATATTGTAAGCAGTAATTGTAACACTGCAAGTGCAAATGTTTGTAAAGTGTGTGTAAGGCGAGCGAACAGAATAAATTNTCTATATCATTTTTCCTAAAGCTGATATACATTTAAATACTACACCAAGTGAAACTATTTTATTGCATTTTTCTCAGCAGGATACTGACCAATAAAGAAACAAAATCTTCAGTTTCTTTTGATAGGTGTGTCATATTTTTTGTCTGAAAAATTAATCACCTATGGTAAGGACAGATAGTAACGACCATCAATAACCATCAGCAGACTGCTCTGAGTGAGAATGTTACAAACTGAAATCAACTCCACACATAATTCCAACCTTACAAGTAACCACACTAACTGAACAACACATTCTGCATGCACCTAATGGAGTAGGTGTACATGTTTTAACTTATAATCCCTATTTCATGAAGAAATACACAAATGTACCAACTTTTGTAATAATGTGATTTCAAGTTAATTTCTATTAACAAAGACTAAAACATACTGAAACTGTCTTAAATAATTGGGTGGCTGGAATGAATGTCACTGAGGATATCAACTTACATTTATACATTTCTGATATCAAGAAAAACGTAAGTTTTGGAGTCCGTCTGTGTACCTTCTTATGTGAAGATTAGTAACACATCAGGATTACAATTCAGATTTCAGATAATGTCCAGCATTGACTTATATATTCATTTTGGGTTCAAATCATCACAACCACCTCCAAGAAGATGCCTTAAGATCAGTTTTACACAGTTTCATGACCTGATATTATTATTGGCCTAATCCTCAGCCTCTAAGTGAAATGACTACCAAGAATTAATTATATAATATTCCTGGGGAGTAAAACGCAGCCAGCATGTGAGGCTGACAACCTTACAGCCATCTTTGAGCCGACTGTCTAGATAATGTGGGACCATAAATGTTTCACAACCCTATGGGCCTTCACGGCCTCTTACAGGGATAGCTTTACTTTCTTTATATATGTAAGATTTTTAACCATCGTCCACTGTTTGTGATAAAAGTTGTTTTTAATATTTCATCCTTTACATGTCTCAGAAGGATATTATCAACACACATGAAAACTACTGTTACCACGTCATAGATATAAATGTTATGATTTTTTAACTAATAGTAAGATGTACATTTATTTGTTAAGAATCTAAAATCATTACAGAAGTGTAACATCAACCAATTTGGTTCTAGATTAAAACAAATATTGAACATTATTTTGTAAACAGACTAATTGTAATAATTGTTAGATGTTTTAACAAATCAATATACATCCTAATATATTAGTTAAGAGACACAAAATTTATATGTATGACATGGTAACAGTAGCTTCCATGTGTGTTGATAATATCCTTCTGAAGATGGTCGTTTTGACCAAAACATGTAAAGGATGAAAATTAGAAACAACTTTTATTAATCAGACTGGACGGTGGTTACAAAGCTTATATACAATTACTAGTGTGATGGACCAGGATGAACCAAGTTACTTTTATAACCCATTACAAATGTTTCAATTATATATCAGTGGTGCTTTACAATAATTTGCAGTAGAGTGTACATCTGATTCTGTTGCTTGTATAATTTTACGGCTTTTCATACTGGCCTATCACTGAACAAGGGTTTATTTCATCTTTTGGAAGGATATAATATTGCTATTGAAATCAAGAAAGGGCATATATAATTACTTCATGTCCAGTTTAGTTCAGAGGCTGTTCATCTGGCTCAAGTCCTATAAGCAAGCAACTACTCACTAGAAATTGTACTTTTCAGCTTACAGGTGCCAACAGCTGGCACAGGAGAACCACTGTACTCATTTGAATATGATATGAACTCTGTGGCCTTCCTTCCAGTACATACAGGCACTATTGGCAGCTGCAAGCTGTGTCTTACTTAAAAATAGAGATGATATTCCAGAAAGTAACAAACAATAAAAATATAAGTCCACACTAAATTTCAGAGTTGGTGCCAGCATATTTCATGAAGAATCTGCAGTTTTGTTTTTGAGATGGTTGCCCTGAAAAAGAAAGAAACAAAGAAAATGTAGTAATGCTCATGTTAAACTAGCAGATTTCACAAAAACCTCACAGCTGGTTTTATTTTGAAAATTAAATTTCATATTCTGCATCAAATACAGAAATTTTTAGTAAAACTTCAGCATACCAAGGAGGAAAGTCTTATTCATCAATCTATCATTAAAATGACACTTTATGGTCTACAGCTGAGATGATATGACAAGACAAGTGACATGCTCAGAGAAAAACAAATATTTACTTTGCAGCAGTATAATCACTAAATGACATTATCAACATTACTATATGATGGCTCATCTACTCAGCCTTTAAGTTAAAGCTATGAATTACTGTTATTTGTAATGTCATGATAAGACAAATTTTTAATTGAGTTGACTGGTTTCATCTAGTAATCTGTGTTTTCATGTCTAAGTCTGTCAGGTAATGAATACAATTACTTTCTCTTTGTTAGAACTGGCTGTTCTTTTGAATGAATTGAATCAGTGGCAGACAAAAAGCATATTCATGTTTGTTTACTGTCACTAAGGACCATGAATGGAGACTGTTTCCTTCTGCTGCTGCTGCAAGACGCTAAGCGTTCCAAGTGGGGTATCTCTTGAGATCAACTGGAAACAAAATAAAAAAATATATTGTGACATGTTGCGCAACGAAGGACCCCTACCTCCCCAGCGGCACGTGGCGGTAACGTAGCGCTCGCGTAATAGGCGAGTCATCACCCCGCCACTCTCCCCGCGGTGACGTCACAAGCAGAGCCGAAGAGAGCCGAGTGGAGCCGAAGATAGCCGATCCCCCGCAACCTGGTAGCTATGCAACACAGTTAACAACTCCTATGACGTGGCACACAACAGGCACCACTGCGGCTATATAAGGGAACTGCACAGCAGCTACAAGCCAGTTGTAACATAGCTGTCGGCCAGTTCAGTTGAAAGGTGGACATCGCCGAGTTCAGTAGTAGTCGAGCGAGTGTGTTATCAACGAGTCCTCGAGCTACCTCCGAGTTAGTTCCGAGTTAGCCAGCAATCAGTCAGTTGTATTCTGGCATTTGGAGTATAGTATTTGTGATACTGCAGATAGCAATAATTGTGAATCTGTAATTTGGGTGATTGTAAGTGCGAATGTGAAATAAAATTCGCTATATCAAATACGGCGTGAAGTTATTTGTCACGTTATACACCCAAGACACATGACAATATGTTAAAATAAGAATTAATCTCATTGAGCCTGACACTTCAGATGAGGCACATTCTGTTTGCCACTAAACATGCTAAAGTGTTTGTAGCACCTGTCACTGATTATCCTAACAGCTGGCCATATTTTAAGTTAGTCTGCTGCTTGAAGTCATCAATTTCCCCCAATATCCAACCCATGGTCTCTGTCTATGTCTGCCAGCCTACTGACAACTGAAAAAATATGCGTGGGTTTTATGAGTAGGCTCCATCTGACTTGCCACAAAGTTGCCGTATTCACTTCTGTCCCGAGACTGAAGCTACTGAGTATGTTTGTAGTCAGCAGAAAATGAACGCACAAAAAGTGTAGACGGATATCTATCTCCTATATGGAAACATGGACATGTAATGATAACTACAATTTACTTCCTTATGGAGCACCATTTAGAAATAGCATCAAATTGTTTCAGTCTCGCATGCAGTATGTCCTTCTATAAAACTTTCTGAAAATTACTGATTACATGTTTTGAACTATAAGGTCATTATCAGGTGTTTTAAAATTATAAATTATAAATGAAGAAACTGCTGTGCTTCCATATTGTGGTTGTTGGTCATTACTGTGTGGTCCCTTCTATGCGCATATATACACAGGGAGGTGCAAAAAGATGGGAACTTTTGAATGTGATGTTGGCAGCAGTGTGAGGGGAGGAGAAATGTGGGGAGGGTGGTAAGTTGTAGAGTAGCACCGGAGGTTTAGTAGCCATGGAACAGTGGAACATTCAAGAACGCGTAGTAGCTGTGAGGGCTTATTATCGACATGGCGACAGTTTAGTTGAGGCCTTACGGGAGTTTAGGCGGCATTTCAACCTTGCCCCTTGTGCCCATGCTCCATCTAAACATGCAATTCGAACGTACATTCAAAATTTCGAAGAGACTGGTTCAGCGGGAAAGAGAAAGTCTTCTGGTCGTCCACGAAGTGCCCGGACTCCGGAAAATGTCGAAGCCATGCAAGCCTCAGTCTTGAGAAGTCCACATCGCTCACTACAGAAAGTCGCAGCGGCAGTGACTGTAAGTCATCGGTCTGTTCAGAGAATACTCCATGAACTGAAGTTTCATCCCTATAAACTGCAACTGGTGCAAGAACTGAAACCTAATGACCATCTGTTGTGCCGACAGTTTTGTGAAGCAATAATGAACAAAATTGACGAGAATCCTGATTTCATTGAAAATCTGTGAAAATCTCATTTTCATTTAAACGGGTATGTGAACAAGCAGAAATGTCGGTACTGGGCACAAGAAAATCCTGCTGTTCTTCATCAAAGACCTCTACACAGCCCCAAGGTCACGGTATGGTGTGCAGTTTCGGCTCGAAGGGTGATAGGACCATATTTTTTGAAGACATCGCAAGAAACACTGTGACAGTAACTTCTGAGCGTTATATAACCATGCTTGAGACGTTTCTTGCTGCAAGAATTCACAGTGTACCGAACATTGATATCTAAAACACTTGGTTTCAACAGGACGCGGCGACCGCACACACCGCACGAGTGTCAATGGCAGCAGTCAGGCGACTGTTCGGTAACAACGTAATTTCGAGAAACGGAGACATTGCTTGGCCACCTCGTTCCCCAGACTTATCAGTGTGTGATTTTTATTTATGGGGATATTTGAAGAGCGTGGTCTACAATACACGCCCCACAACCCTAGCCGAACTTAGAAGATGAATAACAGAAGAGATCGCAGCAATACAACCTGACACTTTGCTCCGAGCCATGCGCAATTTTCAGGATCGACTTGCAGAGTGTATTCGGCAAGATGGACATCACCTTCACGATGTTATTTTCAAACTGTGAGTTATTTTTAAATTTCCAATGTAGAAGTGCACATTGAGTACCTTGATTAAATTAAAAAAAAAAAATTGTATTTTTTTCTCTATTTTCAAGAGTTCCCACCTTTTTGCGCCACTCTGTACAAAGTGGCAGGTTGCTCTGCCCACTGTGGTACACAACATACCACAACAGGCGGAACAACCCATCACTTCATATATGCATGCGCATAGAAGGGACCACACAATAACGACCAACAACCACAATATGGAAGCACAGCACTTTCCTCATTTATAATTTATAACTTTAAAGCACCTAATGATGACCCTATAGTTTGAAACATGTAGTGAATAACTTTTAGAAAGTTATATAGAAGGACGTGCTGCATGTAAGACTGTGAAACCATCTGCTACTAAATAAAGTGAAGCAGGGTGCTACAGTATGGTACTAGTTACAAATAACAGCTCATGACCAGGTCTGGACTGATACTCACTCCTTCCTGTTCATTCTTCTTCATTCGTTTCTCTACTTTATTTCTGTAGGTCCCTTTCCATGAAGTTTATGAGACAGGTATCTGAAATTAGAAAGAGAGACAACATTAAAGTCACTGTACTTTAGGATCTGACAGAATGTGTCCATGTTTCCAAGTAACATGTAACATCCTTTCATCCTGAAGTTCCAGCCAGAAAATAGGGGTACGATCCATATTTAGTTCAATCTGTTATTTTGTGAAATTATAAAAATATATAACATTCTGTTTTCCAAAACTACTTCCTCATACAGCCAACAACCAGAAACGGGCATGCTACAGACCATTAAAGTCGCAGGGATTCAAATGATTAACACAAATTATTTTAACAAAAGTACAATGGGACAGTAATAATTTTGAGGCATGTTTCTTCTTAATTCATACGACCTATCTGCAAAATGAACCGCTCTGCCATATTCTATGCCTACACAACAAACTGTATCAAGTACAAAGTATTTACACACTCAAATGTCACAATATGTTGGCTACTTAGAAACTGTCACATACAGAATGGGAGAAAAGGAAGTCAAAACAACAAGTATATAACAGAATGTTCTACTGAAAGCATCTGAGGTGGAAGATAATAATCTCACCCCCCATGATAGGGTAATCATGCTAGTGCTGGTCAGCAGAGGGACCCTACAATTTAACATGAGGGGGGTATCCTTTGTATTCCCAAAGCTCGAACTCTGGTAGATGTGAAGGCATCACCTGTGAGCAGAAAAATCTGTACGACACAGATGCGAGGGGGATCAAACTCAGAACCTTCTGAATGGGTATAACAGCTTACTCCAGGACCTTTTTCTTAAGGACCTAATTTAAGTGGCTCTAGTGTTGCTCCCAACTCAGTCACCATGTTAATATGGTTGATGGTAGACAACTAAAAGAACATGTGAGTGGCACGATGACAATACAGTTTCACATAAATCCATCAGGTGGTTTGCACATTATCATGAGAATGGCACACATGGATGATAAACACAATGGTCCCATAATCTTGTTTGTTTCCACTGAACAACCACTTCCTCTTGGAATCTTTTTCTTAACACTTTGCAGACCAGTGGCATATTTTTATGCCCAGCACTTTTAAACGTGGCAGACCGGTGGCATATTATTATGATTTTAGGACACATTATATTGAAACACACTATACCCTGCACTGGCGCCAGGCAGACGCATGACTGGTGTGTGATAGACCTCTTGAATGTTTGCTTTGTAGTCAGTAACATGACCCCACTGTTTATGACCCAACTGTTTTCCTTTCCCACTCTGAAAGAAAATGCCTTTGTTCATCTTCCAGCTGAATGCACCAGGCAAGAAGTTACTAGTGCAAAATGGGTCAAGGTCGGAGGTCCAAGCGTTTTCTCGGAGAACAAGAAATATCTGACTTGTTCTCCAATGAGCTATCTGACGTCCCTTGTGAGTCTGCTAGTGATAGCGACTCACAATTTGATAGTGAATGTGGCAGGGGCAAACAAAAAATTGTGGCCACAGACAGTGAAAGTGAAAGTGACAGTAGCTCCGACGAAAGTGCGGGTAGCAACATTGCAGGGACAGCCACATGGGGAACAGTAGACAAAACGCCTGCTTTGGGACAGTTTACTGGAAATCCAGGGGTGAAGCAAATTCCATCGGACCCAGATCCACAATTCACAATTCGAGCATGGTTGATGTTCAAAGGGGGCATGGACAGGTAAAGAAGCCTGTTTGTATTTCTGAGTATAATATGTTCATGAAGGTAGTTGATAGAGCCGATTAGTATTTGGCCTATTATTCTGTTCCTTGGAAAACAGTAAAGTGGACAAAGAAAGTGGCCTTGTGGCTTATAAATTGTGCCATTTTAAATTCATTTTTGGTTTTCAAAATCTAAACCCTCATTCAAAATTGAAATACAAGGCATTTCTGCTGAATGTGGCAAAAGCCTGGGCTACAGACCAGATGGTGGCAGCAGAAACAGCGGCAGACACAGACTTAGTGCAACCGGGTCCATCAACTCCCACCCCACACAGGCCTCATATGGAACCCCCTGGGCGACTCTCGGGTGATATGCGGAAACATACACTCGTGAAAACTGTGAAGTGAACGTGCCAAGGGGAAGCAGCCTTCTAGGCGATGCCATGTTTGTGCAGTACACAACAAAAGGAGTATGACTGTCTACATGTGCAAGTTCTATGTAATGCCACTTCACAAAGGGGAATGTTTCCAGAAATATCACACTCTCAAGCACTTCTAGGAGCATTGCTAAGTGTTCTCCAAAAATTTTAGTTCATAAAATTAATTAGGAGATTTTACATTAATTTTTAAAGTGAACAGTGCACAAGTTAGGGTAGTAGGTTTAAAAATGCCAGTCCCCAGGGTGATTTAAATATTTAAATCACTGGTCTGCGAAGTGTTAAAATTGCAATTACTGTGGAAACTTTTTCTGCTCTAAAGAATGTACTACCATTGGACAGGCTACCCTCCACAGTGTGACCTATCTTAAAAACAGATATGCTATTATCTGTGCTAACCTGAAAGCCTCTTTTGCATTAAGTAAGTGTCCATCATCATCTATGTAGTTCAGTTTAACATTTGGTTTGTAGCCTCCTTTTCTTTGAAGTCTGAGGTCAGACCACTGTAGCGCTCGCGATGCCCAAACTTTTCATCATCTCTGAAAAAGATAAAGCAATGCTGTATATTAAATTCCTTAATTAGTCTTGCTTGCTTACTTCATCCTGTCTTGATCATCATGTACACCTCCCTAATACTCAAGTGGGTCAATCCCGAGAGAAGACGAAACTTGCAATCCAGTTATAGAGGAGATGACAAAGTATTCAAAGCTCAGATATCCTTTACCCTTCAAAATCTCTTACTCCACTCTATAATCAAAGCAATTGGCTGATCCTTGTGCCCATGACAACTCTCTTCCCTAAGGCCTGCTGTGGAGAAGACTTGACAGCTACAGGACAACTTAGATGGCTCAGCCTGCAGCCACCTGCTCACACTAGTTCCTAGCTTGTGGATTTTTATAACCTGAAGATGGAGGCAATACATTCCTCCAAAACACCGGTTTACACAATATCTATACAGTGCCACATCCCAGAAGATGGCATTCTTCATTAGTAACATTCATTACATACCAAGACACTATACAGTAAAAGAAAAAGTAAAGTTACCCCTGTAACAGACCATGGAGGTCCATAAGGTTGAGACGTCAAGGCTCCCATATTTTCTAGACAATCGGCTCATAGATGGTGGTGAGATTGTCAGCCTTATGCGCCAAGCTATCCTTGTAGCAGACCGTGGAGGCCCATAGGGTTGTGAGACATTAAGGCTCTCACATTTTCTAGACAATCGGCTCATCAATGGTGGTGAGGTTGTCAGCCTTATACACTGGCCACACTTTACCCCCCATGAAAATTCCTGGTACTCATTTCTTTTAAGAGGCTGAGTCGACCCCAGGGCCATAGTGCAGATGGAAGGATTAGGTCAACTGAAAAAAATTAATGACCTCTTTGGGACTTGAACCCACAACCTTCCAACTTGTAGCATAGTGCCTCAATCAACTATCTTACTGCTACCAATATTAAACAGTAATGATTAATGTGTTTCTACCAAAACCCTTTACAAAACTGCAGTATATGATTAAATATGGTACACCATTTTTGAAATACTTAAAATATAAACGCACAATTAAAACCAGTACTAAAGTGTCGATATCTCTTAATTTGAATAGGCCTATGTTGTACATCAAGAATCTGCTAATGACTCACAAATCTCAACTTCATTCCAAGCTCCATGTTTGCCTTCTTCTTCCTAACGTTTCTTCTCTTCAATCATTTCCCTCTCAAAGTCCGGTAATATAAATTTTCTATGAGATTAGCAGAATGCAAATGCGCAGTTCAAAAATTACCAATTCTCAAATTACCTTGAGATAGACTGAAATCTGAACTGCTTACCCACCAGCCACTGTATAAATAATTACTTCACTGTAAAGTACTGACTATACTGTGTATGATTTGAGCTTTTGACAGCAGTGGTTTTGAAGAGTTCTGTCATCTGGGATATAATGTCGTGTAGTCTGTCGAAAGTCAACAGACATTTTGCAGAAACATGTCGCCTCCATCTTCAGGGTTGAAGAATAAATCAAGCAAGAAACCAGCACTGGCAGGAAACAAAGCCAAGCTTCCTACCTGCTTCATGCTGGCTTCTTGTTTCGTTTATTCTTTGACCCTGAAGATTCAGGTGACATGTTACCCTGGAAATTCAGATGATACCCTAGAGGACGGAATTCTTCTGACTATACTGATCATCTTGAAACTTCTTTGTCAAAATATCTTTTTAATATCATAGTATGCTTTAAAGTTACAGATCTATTAGAAATATACTCTCATTCTGCCAAGCAATGTACAGCTGCCAAACTAATTCTGAGTTTGCAGTGAGAATACTGTGACAATTAACATTCAATTGACTTTGCAATGAATAAAATTACAAGAACTATTGGTTTTTCATTCAGTCATGTTCTGAGCTATTTATTCATCCCTATTTCAATTTCACATATAATTCCTAGTAGTGTCTTTTCTACCCTTGTATCATGCACATGGCACAGGAAGAAAAAAGAAATAAAAGATGGGGAAAAAAAGACTGGATATGAGATTCTTGTAGAGGAGATTAAGAAAGGCACTATCTTCTGGGAAACAACATCATGTAAGTCCAGTGACATTCCTTCAAAATGCTTATGGACCTTCTCACATTATATGACATTTTATTCCAGAAGGTACCACTTGTCAAGAAGAAGAAAAAGGTTCTACCATCTCAACTATCACATTCTTATTGCATAATAAGTGCTTTCATTTCTAGGATTTCTGTTGGATGTTTCCAGTTCAGTAATTTATATCCATTATCATGGAATTCCAACTGTAATTAAAATATATTCTAATTCTGTTGCAGCTGCAGTATACAGCTGTAGATGGGCAATGGACTGTATCCAGTCTTGACACATGCTAAATCACAGTGCTTTGCCAAGTGTACATTTATCTGCAGATGGTTATATTGCACTCACAAGTAGTTCCTGAGTGTCCTCATCCCTGTTGCCAGCCAGACCATAAATGGGGGTGTCACCCAACGTATGGCAGAATTCTGCGGTAGCATTCAGCACAATGAAACTACCTTCCATGTTTCCTTCTGAGTTTCTCCCCAGTACCAACTCTGCCACCTACAAACATCACAAATCATAACAGTTAAATCATGTAGCTATACAGCATACTGTTTTGTAGTGTCCATAAACGCAAAGCTGTCCCTGTGCTTAATTAGTTATGCTCTAGATCAGCCATGTCAAACATGCGGCCCCCATAGCCACAAAGTGCGGCCCCTCAACTTTTAGAGCTAATTGATATTAAAATCAATATTAAAATTTTAGTAGAAATATTTTTTGTAAAGACAATTTCCCAACAGACCAGAAGACAAGAAGTCTCACGCAGACATAAATTAGCAGGCTGCAGGAACAGTGATTCTGAGAACTGCAGAAGGGTTTGTCCAACTAACGGTTTGTAAAGTTCAGGATGGAAGGGTTTGTCCAACTAACGGTTTGTAAAGTTCATGAAGGACAAACTACTGTATTTCAGAAGGTTAATGCACTAAAATCCGCACAGACTCACCACCCCAAGTATTTCCAAGAATCCCTTTTGGAGGCATACTATGAATGCAAGGAGGGTGGCAACTGACAGACAAGTGCAAGGGATTTCTACCTTCAAAACTAGCTTGCAAACCCAAGCCATTGTCTAGTGGGCTGCTAGCAAACTTTGTCATTCAGTTCATTTTCACACAGAGACAGGTGCTGATGTTACCTTGTGATGAACGTGTATAAAGGTTATGATTAACCTTTAACGGCCGAATGTTATAATTATTGGCATCCAGTAGCACCCCGAGCTGGCCGAATGTTATAATTTTTAGAGGCAAGCCACGTGCTTCCTTTGTGAGTGCTGGCAGTTTGACCTTGGGTTTGAAACCCAAACAAACTCATGAATGTTCATCTCAGATGTTTATTTGTTAGCTCTGAAGAAAGAAATCGTTTATCAGGGTACTGGTTTCGAAACTATTTACGTTTAGATATGACTGTTTATGACCTGGTGAGCCAATAGAGGTCAGCTTTGTTTTGAGGACTTAGAGGAGGAAATATTCGTGGGCGCTTACATATCAGTGCTACCACAGCTTTCACGGAAGGGTGACGAATTCAGGGATTGGTTTGCAGTGTTGAATTGTCAGTTAGGATGTCAGTGGCGGATTTTCTAATATTTGGTTATTAGTTAGGAAGTCAGTGTCAGACTCCTATATTTCTTTGAATATAATTTTTATTGTGTATCTCGGAAGAGGTATAAACCCACTGAGCCAGTGTTACT